ATTCTAGGTCTCCCTCTCGGTCTACTTCCTTCCACTATTCCTTCCAATACATCCTTTAAAGGTACTATGTCCCATTTGCAGGCCAAAAAAATGAAAAGGTTAAATTGCAACGGCATTTGAAAGATAATACTAATTTAGAACTTCCCTAAAAAGATGGGGCTTGAAAATGTCTTCAAGTGGGAAAATAACGACTATCAGTTGTCAAATCGACTTAGGAGCTACAGAGCCAATAAGTAATAGTCTTGATTTTCAGACCATTGTACCGAATGGTCATACGTTTTATGCTGCGCAAAGATTCAATCAGTTTAATTTCGGCCATCACAAGAAGTGGGATATTGATGTAGACAAATGCTCATGTACTCTTTACAGCTCATTTTATGTATGTTATTACCAAAGAAGAAGAAAAGCCAGTCAGTCACTCAATAGTGTCTGGCAGTGAAGTCTAGCGAGTAAACAGGTTTCCTTGCATAATTTGAATTTTACGACACTGCTAACGTTTAAGTTTCACAGATAGGACATACATGACATATTCATAATTCCTGCAAAGTTCTACAGAATTTGAGGTTGGCTGCAAAAGGGACATAGTACCTTTAAGAGTCCTTTGGCAAGACCATATGGAAACGTTTGCTTGTATTTGTCTCATAAAAGAAGTTGACCACAAACTGACTCCCACACGGTGTTGAGTGCTCAGTAGTCACGGGCCACTGGCTTCATCGGGCAGGTAGTTCCATTATGTGAATGGGTAAACAAACTATTACAAAATGAGGGGACACATTACATTGTACAATAGGGACACACATTGTTTTTATTGTGCAGAACATACTCTTTTATTGACTTACTTATTGCATGAAACTATAAAACCAAAATGCATTTTGTATTCTAACAATTGGAGTACAAAGAATAATAACAGGTGAATGAAATTCATAAACACCACAAACACCTGGGGAGGAGGCATTCATAAATTTGAATAATTTAGTTGATAAACGACTCCGATGAAACTTTAAAACCAAAATGTAAATTGCGTTCTGGCAAAATTTAAATTGCGTTCTGGCAATTGGAGTACAAAGGGTGATAGCAGGTGAATGAAATGCTTTAACAACACAAACACCTGGGAAGGAAGCATCCATAAATTTGAATAATTTAGTTCATAAACGACTCCGCATGTGGACGTTTGGTGGAGCAGAAAGCAGTGGATTCTTAACAACACGAACCCATTTAACAGAATGTCGGAACGTAAATTAAATTTGGCGCGGTTGGAAAATGCATCTTTCAACCCTGCGCCATTAATGGTACGATACAGTAAATTAAAACAGTAAAATGGCTCTTATTTAAAAATTACTCATTAAATAAAACCCAAAACTTCAGTGATATGAGACAAAATATGTTATATCTTACTAATAATTAAAGAAGATGTATAAACATTGTAAAAGTGTAGCATTTTACGATAAAAGACACCGATTTAGCGAACATGACGTCATTAGTGCGCTTGCATCAGGGAATTCAAAGTCAAAAGGTCAATTCAGACGCTGATAAGTTATTGGTCAAGCCTTTTTGTTTCCTTTATTCCGACAAAATTATACAATCAATCAAAACAAGTTTAATACCAGAAGAAAGCTAACGATTGGTATTTTCATTAACCGCTTGCCCCAAAGTCGCTTGACCACAGTGAAACGAGTGAGAGCTTGCGAGAGCGACCAAAATGTGATTGAAACTCGCTATTTGCTCTTCTCCAACGCAAAAAGAGACGACATTGTGCTGGATAAATGTATTTTTCCGACAAAAGTACAGAAAATTTGCATATGGTCTTTTTATATTATACTTTATGAAAAGTTACCCGCGTGACTTCCGGGCGCCCCAATGCTGGAAAGAAACTCACATTTGAGAAAACTTCACTTTTTCATGGAAAAATGCTTATTTGTTCTATGCACGCAAGTCAGCTTGAGCGGATGATACAACGTTTCCATATGTTAATCTACATTTGCCACTCTTCACCCAAGGGTAGAATGGGAACTTGGTAGGATGCGAACGTTAATGTGGTTGAATTAGCAAGTGTGCGCTTTAATAATGAACTCCAAAATGTTTCATTTTGTTTGAAGAGCAATAAATTATCTCGAAATATTAAAAAAGACGAATTCCCAATAAACAAAATCACGTGAAAATCACGTTAATATCAAGGTATCGACTTGAGGAGAGTTACGTTCTTTAAACACCGGACATTTACGTAAATGTGTTAATACGTTTATTGCATTAGGTAACTTAAAACACACGTACACTAAATCACGCAATTGTCACTGCAATATCACCATTATAATAACGTGATTATCCCTACCTTGGAGACCATGGTTTGTAAACCTAATACTCCCGTGTTTGTTTGGTTATGAAATTACATCTTCATACACGAAATTATCGCTTCACAGAAACACGTGAAGCGTTAGTGATAGTTTTAGTCAAAATATCTGCGTGAAATTCACGTGAATATTACGAGGCTGACTTGAGATGAATCATGTTCTACATTCACGTGAAATTTACGTCGAAGAGGAAGTATGTTACTGTAACCCGCGGTCAAACCCAATAATTACGCAAATGTTACACAATAAATGAACCAAAATAATGACGTTCTCATCCCGTTTCTGAACATCGTGTCTTGGATCTTCCATAATTACGTCCAGGCGCGCCGGAAGCAGTTTGGGATTAGAGGGGGTTGGGTGGGGGGGGGGGCTGCAAACATCCCAGAAGAGAAAGCTAGTTGCAACTGGTCCAGGTGATGATCCCTTTAATGCCAACTGGTAACCCTGGAAATTGAAATGGGCTAATTGATCCAGTTGATCCAGGCCAGTTATAATTCAACTGGTCTAGCTGAGCCATTAGAACCATTTGGTAAAACTTCCAACCAGTTGAACAGCAACAATACTTCCATACTGGTACGTCTGTATTTCCAATGTAAGGGCATTGGTAATAAGTAGACTTACATAGTTGAATTAATCGAGAAAAAAATCGTATACTTGTACTTTATTGAAATTATTTTAGTTCACATTTAATGTTTCCCTTATTCATGTTTAACTATTTATACGAAGTAGCGAAATGTCCTAATAACTGGTAATTTATATTTGTAGTATTTTCGAAATGAATTGCATATAACTGAATCATCAGTAATTAAGAAATATGCTGTAAATTCAGATAAATTGTTTAAAAAACATAGATCTGCACGCACCCCATATTCAATATGCAAATGAATTGGTGTCAGCTGGGTCAACTCGAAATATGCCAACGCTCAGTCATCAACTGGTGCAACTGGAAATATGCACACTCCAGTTATCAACTGGTGCAATAAAAATATGCCAACAGTCAGTTATCAACTGGTGAACATAGAAATATGCCAACAGTCACGGGATTATCACCACGGAACTTAAATGGTAACTGTGAAACCATCAAGACACCCAAGAATAACTCATTTTCACACATGGAAAACACGGAATACCCAGCTTATATTAATAATCCGTTTGAGTCACGCGATCATCACCGCGGAACTGCTGGCAACTTTGACTACGATTTAAAGAGGTGTTTTAAGACACCTAATCATGACTAATTTTTCACACCTAAAAGTCACGTATGCCCAGCTTAGATTAATAATCCGTTTGAGTCACGAGATCATCACCGCGGAACTTATGGCAACTTAGACTTCCATTTAAATAGGTGTTTTAAGACACCTAATAATGACTAATTTTTCACACCTAAAAGTCACGTATGCCCTGCTTAGATTAATATTCCGTTTGAGTCACGAGATCATCACCGCGGAACTGCTGGCAACTTTGACTACCATTTAAATAGGTGTTTTAAGACACCTAATAATTACTTATTTTTTACACCTAAATATCACGGATTCACAGCTTAGATTAGTAATCAGTTTTAACTACGTGATCATCACCAAGAAAGTTATGGTAACTTTGAAACCATTTAAATAGGTGTTTTAAGACACCTAATAATGACTAATTTTTCACACCTAAAAGTCACGTATGACCAGCTTAGATCAATAATCCGTTTGAGTCACGAGATCATCACCGCGGAACTTATGGCAACTTTGACTACCATTTAAAAAGGTGTTTTAAAACACTTAATGATTACTAATTTTCACACCTACATATCACGTTTTCACAGCTTAGATTAGTAATCAGCTTGAGCCACGTGATCATAACCAAGATATTTATGGTAACTTTGAAACCTTTTAAAGAGGTGTGTAAGACACCTCATAATTACTAGTTGAATATAACCAGAGATTCACGGACAGAACAATAAGACGATTGGCCGGTGTAAGTAACGTGATTATTACCATAAACCTTGGATAACCTGTGAAACCAATCAATAACGGTGCTTACAAGACCAAATAATTACGTATTTATCGCCACCATCGGTTAACTGACAAAAAACTCGTTGCTTGGCCAAGTGGTTATTTGGTCATAAACACTTGATTTACAGAGGTAAGTGGAATCACGTTACTCCAGTCGCGTGATAAACTGGTGGTTTTTAGGTTAGATGAAAACGTGAACAGGAGTACCTTTTTTGTTTAAATGAAGGCACGTGTCGATAACGTTTAAATCTAGTTCAAAAGGCCCTATACTTTAAAATCACTTAAAATACACTCCCAAAAGAGGTTACTTTTTGGTGTTCTGTTTATTGGGTTGTATCAATTGTTAATTGACCACATGCATGCATCGATTTAACAAACGATATTTTTGTTGATGGACTCCCTTTATCAAGAGCGGAATTCGTCCCCGAAATGACAATAACTCGTGAACTATTGGCTGTACCTCTGCAATTGTTATTAAACTTTAATGCGGTCAGTCATATCTCATACAAAACCTGAATTAAGAAAATGATTCTTACTTTCGGATCCATTCATTTCATTCTCTTCATTTGAACTATAATCCGATTCAATCCTTCCATTTTCAGATACTTTACAGATGCTTCCGTATGTTGCAATGTGATATTGCATGACATGAACAATGGCGGAGAGGGCTTTGAACGATAAAACCAACCTCCAATCGAGAGGTCCATACCAGGGTGGTGACAACAATCGTGTACCAGGTCCCACGAAAAAATCAAATGCCAGCAGTGTGTCCAAGGTTCATGAGGATAAAAGCGTGCGACCTAAGGAGAAGGTGGACAGCACGAAGATTACGAAGAGCACTTTACCTGGAAAGACCCATCACATCGGTCCGAAAGACATTGCTGGCCACTTTGGAAAGAGGCAAGACGGAAGACATCAACATGGGCAGGGAGGCCAAAGGCAGCAAAGTGGAAGCAGGGTAGGAAGAAGGCCACACTCTTCCAAAACACCATCCAAAACTGGGTCAAGAGGAAGGGCGGTAGAGGTTGAAGGTTGCGGAACCAGCGTCGGTACCAATCATCAGCCTTCTCAACGTGGCAGTCGCTTGTAAGTTTTTCTCATTTACACCATCGTCGGTGACCTCTGTGAACACGGACGGATCGATTTTCAGTAAAAATATTTCAATCTTACCAATGCAATTTCGTTTTACCATATCTAAAATGTATTGTTTTCTTGTTGGGGGGGGGGACGTTCAGTGTCTTTTTTGAAAAAGTGTGAAACATCTTAAATGTCTCTTTAAAAAAAGACTCTCTTCGGAGGACTAATTTTATAGAAAAATTGTCTTTGCAACTGTAGTTTGAACCAATGGAACCTTTTAAGCAGTGATGGCAGATCTATCTTTACAGAATACATCTCTATAGAGACGAAATCAATGACTGGATAGACAGGGCTATGATAGAAGCTTTACACATTTAATATGCAGCTATAAAGTTAAACTGTCATGATCACATTTTCTTGAACTAAATAAATCATCATACGATATAGTAGCAATGATATCATTACGTCATATTTCTGCTCAAGAAAGTAGATTAATTTATAAATATCGTTCTGACAAATGTTAATGTCTGAATATTATACAAGTAAAGGAAAGAGGCGTACATTAAACAGAAAACGGCGAACGGAATGGGTTATAAAATACTGCTAGATTGTCTATCTTGATCAAAAGTCGTATTACTTGTTACCATTATCAGTCTTTATTTTGTTCTTGTTTTTTAAATTTATGTATTGTACTTTTTTTAAAATAAATTGTCTATGTCTACAAGTATTTGTGTTCAACTAACTTTTAGCCGTAGACAAAGCTTTTGTGATTTGTTTCCAGCAAAATACTGCATATGTTCTCCACTTACATTATTAATTTTCTTTTCTATTAATTCCCTCCAATTTTTAACCCATCTATTAGAGTATTTCCCCCAGGATCAAAGGACAAGCGCATGTTTCGACCTATCAGCTTACAGTTCTTAAACCAGCTCCTTCGGATGGAGCCTTCAGAGGCAGCAATTCAACTTGGTTCATTGAAGGGAAGTTTTATGGCAGGACTTGAAGAGGAGAACGTGGATGCCAATAAACAGCGCTTATTTTGGGATGTTCTTGCCCATATTTCTGACAATGTTGGTGTAGCCAGTACTGTCATTATGCTACTTACGGTGGCCGTTGGCTCTAGACTCCTTAACACACACCTACCACTTCGTCTGATCCATCTGAGGGAGAGGGCACACCAAGGAGGTACACGCGATTGTCTAGGTTGTATCGCTGTTCTCATCACAGTATTTGAATCGATGATCTCCTGCATACCCAGCCGGGCTGCAGAAATCAAGGTACCCTTGGTTCTCATGACAGACGTCGTGAACGCAATGGATGAAGAATCGACACAGGACGTCAAGCCCTCTCTCGTTGCCCTGGTGCAATATATTGAGTCTGTTGAAGCGGAGAAAGAGTTCACGCGCCAGAAGCATCGGAATGCTTCATCTAAACCACCGCCAGATGACTTCCGACAGCAAAGTATTCTTCCAACTTATCAAGAGCTCACACCATCTTATCGACCATACTTGAGACCTCATATAGTTAATGGAGCTTACCCGAACGCGGATCATTACTTTGACGTGCACTTCAGGCTCATGAAAGAGGATTTCATTCAGCCTCTAAGAAGTGGTTTGGGGGAATACCTTCACAACAAGCAAGTTCGTCCAGAGAATAGGGTTAAGGTCAATGATATTCGGGTCTATGAGAACGTGAAACTTGTCCGACCAAAAACGGACCATTCCGGTGTTTCCTATTTGATGTCATTCAAGAGGCTACCTTATGTCAGATGGGAAATGTCGAAGCGTTTGATTTATGGCTCACTAGTCCTACTTTCGGAAGATGAATTCAAGACCTACATTCCAGCCACTGTAGCAAATAGCGAAGCAAAGCAACTTGCACGTGGTTTTTTTGACCTACGCCCTATAGATAGAGAAATGTCATCTATTGTTGACAAAACATTTGTCATGGTGGAATCAACAGTTTTCTTCGAGGCATATCGACATGTCTTGGTCGGCCTACAACGGGTAAGCCCTGCAACCTTTCCAATGGCAGAGCATATTCTTGACCTTAAACCAGACATAAAGCCCCCTACCTACCTAATGAAACTGAGCCATCCCGAACTTGACGTGTCAAACCTAATGGTTGACCGAAACCAGAGGAACAATGTTCGTGACATCTCTATGACTAAGCTTCAGAAGGCTGCATCTCCAATCCGGTCCCAGGAGAAACGTAGTCCGAAACATGTTGGTCTGAAACAACACGAAATTGACACCCCCTTTCCCATATCAGTTCTGAATGGTGATGCCTGGCCTGCAGCTGAAGAAACGAATCTGAATCCATCTCAGCTAGAAGCAGTAAAAGTAGCACTCACACAGGAACTGTCCCTGATTCAAGGACCCCCTGGGACGGGAAAAACGTACATCGGATTGAAAATTGTGGAAACACTCCTCAAGAACATGCATTGCTGGTCAGATGAAGAAATAGGTCCAATCCTATTGGTATGCTACACAAACCATGCTTTGGATCAATTTCTACTCGGTATCATGAAATTTCAGGATACAGGCATCATTAGAGTTGGAAGCCGAAGCAAATGCATAGAACTGGAACAGCACAATCTAAAGCAAGTCATTCGAGAGCAACGTTTCAAGAAGGATATAAGCAATAAGTACATCAAACGCCGTGCTGGGAATGTCAGACAAGAAACTACCTTTGCAAAGGAGGCTCTTGAGGGCTTCCAAACCAGAATCCAGTTGAGTTCCCAGGGTATTCTGAGAGAGACGGAGTACAAGCGCTTTCATATTATGTCTGACGAACACTTCAACAGTATGATGAGGATAGAGAGACTGGGGCATGCCGATTCATGGATGATAGAATGGCTTGTTCCTGATGATGAGAGTGTGAAGGACTTTGCTCAAACTCACAATGACGCGATCACATGTGACAAAAAAGACGAGGAAAGTAAAAGAAACGACACTCAGGAAGTTGAAACAACGGTAGAAAGTATCGAAGTGGAGAATGAACGAAAATTGATCGAGGCAAAGCGAGTGATCGATGATGATCTAGAAGATGATGAAATTCCTGAAGTGGAGGTTGTTAAGAACCAGTTTCCGCTAGCAGTTTATTTCGACGATCTCATGTCATCGGTTTACATGAACAGGAGACAGAAGAGCTTTCTTAGGGAAAAGATTTCCATGCAAAAGAAAATGCACGTGAATCAAGTTTCAAACGTTAGGGACGTTTGGCGGCTTAATATTCACCAACGTTGGGGCTTGTACCATTACTGGTTAAGCGAGTATATGGCGCTACTCGAAGCAGAGATCCCAGTACTCCAGAATGAGTACACCCAATTATGTGCCGAGCTGCGAGAAACGAATGACCACGAGAAATGCTTGGTACTGCAACAAGCTACAATAGTTGGTATGACCACTACAAGGGCCGCTAGTGAGCGCGAAGTGCTACAAAGAGTTAAACCAAAGATCATCATTGTTGAGGAAGCCGCAGAAGTGCTAGAGTCACACATTATCACATCGCTACATTCTTCCTGTCAGCAGCTAATCCTGATTGGTGATCATCAGCAACTCCGCCCAAAGCCACATGTTTACCAACTAGCAACCAGATTTCACCTCGATGTGTCCATGTTTGAACGACTGGTAAAGAATGGATTCCCCTTCAAGAAACTCAAGCAGCAGCATCGTATGAGGCCTGAAATATCATCTTTGATGAGAGAACACTTCTACCCAGAGCTGGAAGACAACGAATCAGTGTATACGTACATAGACGTAAAAGGAGTGGAGAAAAACGTCTTCTTCCTCGATCACACCAACGAAGAGGGACATGTAGGCGAGACAATGAGTCATTACAATCTCCATGAAGTTGACTTCACGGTGGCATTGTGTAAGTACCTTCTGAACCAGGGTTACGAGCCCAAGCAGATTACCATACTCACTGCTTACACTGGACAACTACTGAAGTTCAAAGAGAAAATGGACAAAGCTACATTTGAAGGAGTCACGGTAGCTTCGGTCGACAACTACCAAGGGGAAGAGAATGACATCATTCTTCTTTCCTTTGTACGAAGCAGTCCGAATGGGAAGATAGGTTTCCTGAACATCGCAAACAGAGTGTGCGTGTCGCTGTCCAGAGCAAAGCAAGGGCTGTATTGCATGGGAAATTTCACCCTCTACTCTGACAAATGCGCTCTGTGGAAAGGAATCTATGGCGACTTGAAAGCAAATTGTCGGGTAGGAGACACATTGATGTTGCAATGCTACAACCATCCACACAACAAGACAGAAGTGGCAAGAGCAGCTGACTTTCGGAAAGTGCCTGATGGAGGATGTGGAATTCCTTGTGACACCTTACTCGATTGCGGGCATGTATGTAACAAATTGTGCCACCCGGCGGATCAGCTGCATCAAAATTACAAGTGCCCTTACCCCTGCACCAAGAAATGTGAAAGAGATCATGCATGTTCTGATATCTGTGGAAACAAATGTCCACCATGTCGCATAACGATGGAAAAGAAACTGCCTTGTGGACACGTTTGTATGATGAAGTGTTCTAATGACCCAACATCAGTCACATGCAATGTGATGGTTGCAAAGCAAAAGCTTCCTTGTAAACACCTACACACCCTACCGTGTCATCTGGATGTCTTCAGGTTTGACTGTCTAACTGTAGTTCAAAGACACCTTCAGTGTGGTCACACCAAATTTGAGAAGTGCAGTGAGCATGGGATGTGCTCAGTCATTGTGAGCAAGGACTTACCATGTGGGCACATTCAGATGATGAAGTGCTCCCTGACGGAACAGCCTGACATTGTCTGTACCGACATAGTTCTGAAGATTCTACCATGTTCTCATACAGAAAGACTTCAGTGCAACGTTGAGCCAGACAAATTCTGTTGCCTTAAAGTTGTGAAAAAGACACGTCCGTCGTGTGGTCACGTCGTGACAGAGGAATGTTCAGCAGAAAGTGATTGTTCCGACATTGTCTGCAAGAGTCTGCCGTGTGGTCATCAGAAGGATGTGGAATGCTGTAAAGATGTGCATAAGGTATTCTGCAAAGAACAATGTGAGAAGGACCTCGCTTGCGGCCACAGATGCTCCAGGATATGTGGAGAAAACTGCGTTACAGAATGTAATGTGCTCGTAGCCCGAAGCGATTGGCCATGTGGCCACAAAGTTACAGCGAGGTGTAGCGATAAACCGGATTCTTGCAAGGTCAGATGTCAGACGGAACTTGAATGTGGACACATATGCAAGGGGATATGTGGAAAATGTATTGGAGGGCGATACCACGTGCCATGCCGAGAAACATGCGATCGTACTCTGGTCTGTGGACATAAGTGCACCCTCAGTTGTGTCAGTCCCTGTCTTCCTTGTTCTAAGACCTGTGAAAACTTCTGCGACCACATGAAATGCAATCACCCGTGCGGAGAAGCTTGCACTCCTTGTACGAAACAATGCAACTGGAGGTGTCCACATGACAAGTGCAGAACGCTCTGCTGTGAAACATGCTCCAGACCACCTTGTGAAGAACCGTGTTTGAAGAAGCTGATGAAGTGTGGCCACCCCTGTCCCGGTCTATGTGGAGAGATCTGTCCAGAGCTGTGCCGTATCTGCGACAAAGTGGAGCTGAAAGAAACCTCTTTTGGATCTCAGGATACAGAGAAATCGAGGTAATTGAACATATTCTAATTTTCTGTGACTACTACTCTAAAAGTAAATTATATCTCTTCATTTTTGTATAAGTTACTTTTTATTCACGGGCATTAAAAACAATTTAAAAAATTCAAATACGTATTCAAGAATCGACTTGAAGAGGGACGGTACGGCGGAAAGACCGTAGTTATTACAATGAAAATAAAAGGGGAAAGTAAAACACAGTCTTCTGATACTTACGATGACATTATACGATTATATTCATTTTGAACTTGTTGTCATTTAGATACATACAATTGGAGGAATGCGGGCACGTCTTTGAGGTAACTGGTCTTGATAGGCACATGGGACTCAACCAGCCGGAAACCACCAACACACTGATTTCGGTAAAAAAAAATAAACTTACATATCTGAAACATTAGATTCACTTCGTTTTGTAATGACATGCATCTAGCCATAAAGCGATCAGAATAGTAAATTTTCTTGAAATGCAATTGAAGTCAATTTCATTTAAAGTTGTATGCAATAATAATAATGATTATGACAACAATAAAAATAAGTATGATGATGATAATGATAGTTTAAAAAATAATAATAACACCTATTATTATCATTTATTAAATTAATGTATGGTAGTGCATATCACATTATGGTATAAAGTTTTCCTAAGGACTTTGAATATAAGGAAAGAAGAGTGAATCTGAGAAAGAAATACAAACATTAACTCAATACTCTTAATTTTAATTCAAATTTGTTTGGAAATCAGCTTGTACTGGAGAGCGAGGGTAAATAATTAATTATTACCAGAATATTGTGATGTATTGCAATGTTGTTACCTAGACCAATCAATCTCTCTTAATTTCCACACAGTTGAAGAAATGCCCAAAATGCAACACGCCATTACGTCACAGTAGACGCTATGGAAACGTCATGAAGCTGGCGAAAAGACATGTGCTGCATGTTAAGAGGAAACTGGAAGCGAAGAAAGTGCAAGTAGTGGCAGGAAAGTGTGTTATAAAACAGAGGATGACGAGCACTCTTACCCGAAAAAATCTGAGACCCCTTGGGATCGGGGAAAAGGCAATAGGGAGATGGCTACGTATACACCAGGAGATTAGAATGGAACATGAACCAGCTATCATGTATCGACTGCAACTAATACGTACGTTGATGGAACTGCAAACAACACTAAGCGAGGGAACCAAGGATACCCAATTGCCCGGTGAGTCACGTCGGGATAAGTCAAGTCGCAATGTCCGACATTCTGTATGGAAAGAACACATTGATGAAACGCAAGAACAGATAGCAGAGCTGGGGAATGCACTTCTTAGGGATGCTACCAGCTTTTCGTACCAAGAGGCTCATGACCTACACAGAGAAATGTGCAGGACCATGTACACGGTACTCCTACTGATCCGGGTTGTAAAGATTAAAGGTGGCCGAGGTATCCAGCTTTTTGAAGATTCTATCAAAGCACTCGGGAGAAAGGTCTACCTCCGCAATGAATGCTTAGAAAAGATACGACCGGTACTCAATGAATACTACCAAGCTACAAGCAGTAAACTGCTAGATATCATCCCGGAATTTCACCCACGGCGTGAGATGACCTTTGCCCGTGACAGATGGTGTCGATGCCCAAAGGGTCACACGTTCATGATTCAAGAGGATGAATATAGTCTTCCTACGGTGGACTGTGAGATATGCTTGCGTTTCAGAGCAAGAGAAAGTCCTATTAGAGCGTTTCAAGAAAGCCCACCAAGGCATACAAGTGCTTCCCCTGCTACTGAGGATCAGAGAGCGAAGGGCTTGAGAGAGGGTGAATTTCGTCGTCTGGCAATTGCCGTTCCAAGCTGTGGGATACGACGGGGACCAGGGCGAATGCCGTACGACAACAAGCGAAGTGTTAAGAATTCTCCGATGAATCCAAATGACCCTAGGTCTTTCAACAGAGGTTCAGGAAAAGTGGAGAGCTTATCGCAAGGTTGTACAAGCACTGGGAAAAGCAAGGGCGGGAGAAATGAAAGACAATCTACCTTTCCGACTGCAAGTACGAAACCCCAAGCCAGCGCAGTTTCCAAGGAGGGGTCGAAACAAAAACCTAGCACGCGCCGTAATAAAAGTGCTAGTACAGGTAAAACACATGCTCAAGGTACTGCAGATACCAGATCTGCTGGTGTACCAAGTACCACTATCAACAGAAGAGCCGGGCAACATTCCCATGGTGCATGTGCCAAGGACCAAACATCGGGTAGCAAGATGAACAGAGCTCCATTGTCTAAACCAGTTGGGGCATCGCAGACTGGTCCAACTGCGTTTCAGGACACATCCAAAACTCGCGGAGCAAGTCGAGGAACACCAAGGAAATCGGATAGCACCCCAAAGAACAAGGGAAAGCCACAAGAAAAGATGACGCCTAGTCAAGGGAAGGCTAAGACTCCCAAGTCAACAGATGCTGGCGCCACAGCTGACCAGGGCCAGCATGGAACCTCTCACAGGCGAAACCGTAGACGAGGACGTGGGGGAGGCGGTGGAAACAGCCAGGTTGATGATCAACAGAGTAGGCCTGGAAGGTGTGGTGATGCTCAAGAACGTAGTGGTACAGGGGAACAGGACAGTTCGAATTCCCGTCGAAGAAACCGCAGGAAAAAGTATAATGAAAACGAATAAGTGCATACAGTCAAACCTGCTTTATTGACCACCTTTCAACGAAGACCACATTTTTTGTTTCCTTTGGAAATGGTTTCTCATTGTAATAATGGAACCTGCCTACAAACACCATTTTTCTGTTTCGCTTAGGTGGTCGCTATAGACAGGCCTGACTGTATTGTAAAAGAATTTCAATTCAATATATTTATGAATTCATTTTTCTTCCTTAGCTCCCGATATATCCCCCCCCCCCCCCACTTTTTGATATTTTTGATATGGCTTGGATTATTAAATGTGATATCTGTGACATTAACTGAATAATATAGGGGGAAACAGACCCCCCCCCCCCCCCCCTCCCCGTGAACAAAAAAAAAATAAAAATGAGGAGCTGATATTCTAAATAGATATCATGGATTTTCGCCGGTTTCGGCTGCCTACACACAAACCTGGATCCATATTTGTCATAATATTGTTTATATCATAGTGCGTATCATTTGAAGGCTGTATAACTATAAGTTTACTATTATGTTACTGAATTATTCGGTTTAAGGATATTTGTTTGTAGAATAGCACGATATCACTTCTTCTATTTTTGTTCTTAAATTGTCGAATATATTTTGGTTTCTTGTATTTATCTTTCATATTTTTGTTCAAATGTCAATGAGATGTAAATGTTCTTTTTCTTGTATACCTTATATTTTGTCTTGTGCAACCTGCCAGAGACACATTCGTATTTTCGGAATAACACTGTGCGATGCCTTTGGTTTAATTGCTTAATTTGTTGGCTCATCTCGTTATCAAGGATATTAGTTTTCTGAAATGAGATGCCATAATGTATTAACAAGACCAGGAAATTTATCTATTAAGAAAACATTGATTTGTACAAATGTCGAATTAATAATGATATCCAAGGTTTGTAGTCTTAGAAATGTAATATTCATCATAGCAGAATGATTTTTTTAGAATTATACACTGCGCCCTCCCGATACAAGTGCATGATCGTAAAACCGTGGCGGAGTAGATATTGACGAGGAAATATTTAAGTATATATGTGAATAACGACTTCATACTGAATTGAATTGAATTTATTTTATTCTGCAACATACAAATCAAATTACATTTTAGCAATATAACATATTAAATATGTAACAAGTTTTTTTGAATGTGTATATAATATAATAATAAATGATGACATTACGTCAAAATTTAACTGATAACACAAAACCAAGTAGTGTTTATTAGCAAAGTTGCAGAAGAGGAAGGGCTATAACACTAAGCGATTGCTTAATAGCGTGATAGCACTTGATAGCCCATATAATTTTAAATTGAATAAGTTATGATATTCATCAAGTGTGTACTATTGAAGAAAATACACAAACTTGAGTAATTAAAGTCAATTAGGTATATTTTTTATTTACGTTTTTACATCTTCACACTTATTTGACTTAACACAATGATTGCAAGATGAAATGTGATTAATCTTAAATCAATTTGCATAAAGGTTATAAAAAACATTTTTTGATTCTATGTTTTTTGTTTATGTATACAAGTACCGTTTATCTTGATTAAAATAAAAAGCTGTATCAACGATAGATGTTTAATATGTAACCAGTGGCGGGGGGGGGGGGGGACAAGTCCGGGTAAAATGACGATAAGAAAAGGAGAAGGTCAGCACGTTTCTCGGTCTGTCGAGTGTTTATTCTCTGACAAGTGTGGGGCCTGGACCCGCCACTGGTAATACTCACTACATTGATAGTGCATATGAACAACAGAATGTAACATAAGTGTATAATTATATTAGTTTCTATGAACCCATTGCCACGGCTGATGTTAAAAAATTAGTTTGATTTTTTTTGTCTTCAATTTTTCTATATTGAGGATGGTAATGAGGCGATGTTGATATGTAAATAGCAAAGGTTTGTGTTTACATGTGTTAAGATTGTGTCATATATTATGGATGCCTTATAATACACATAATATACGTCATACAATTCATGTTTCAAAGATATAATGGTTATCATTATGATGAAATTTTACATGTGTTATATGTTCCCGGAGAAAAAATGTTACGATACTTGTTTTCCACTTTTTTCAAAGAAAGTGAAGACCTTACGATAATTTTATGTAATAAGCATTAGCTTTAAAAAAACAAATAGTCGATTTCATCATGTTAACTTTAGAGTGTAAGTCTTTAGTGACGGGTTAAAATGTTAGTATAGAATGACTTTTTTCTTCCCGTCATGTTTTGTTCATGTCGCCACGTTCCATTGTTGTATTTTGACTGATTACTGAATGAATTGATATGATTGTTGATTTTGCCATAGATATCAAGAAAGGTGATAGTCATTGAATGATTGGCTATGAAAGATAGCCGGATCAAATTTAGACCTACTATTGATATCGACAAAGAGCATCACTTTATCTTCATGGCTTTCTCTTTTAGGTATGTGGATTTGTAAGCAGAAACACATTTTTTACCATCATAATGTTGACCATGTTTAATGCCAAGTCTCAACTCTGTGCATTCGTGCAGCAAATGCTCAACACAACGATGTCATAACACATATTGATACATAACAATCATCCCTTCTAAAATGGGAGCAGGATAACACATTCAAAGACCGGTTTTCCAATAACTTTTCTTCTGTCTTAAACAATGCGATTGTTATACAATGACTCACTTTGTCATATTTTAGTGTTTCAAATTTATAGATGCATATGTTAGATAGATTATACCTACCTGTGTATACTTCAACTTTTTAACGGATTTTGTTTTGATATATATATGTATATATTATCCATAATCAACACTGGCTGTCAACTGAACCATTGTTTAATTTACAGGTTTAGAATGACACATGTTTTTGAAAATGTAATTATACAACTTTAGGAACAATTTTAAAACACATTGAGATGCAATATATATCACATCTTCAGTATGTAAGCAAATATGACAATTAACTAATTAACAATAATAATAATTATCATATTGAGCTGACGATATGAGATATCTTGTCATTTTGAACCAATTAATCAAATTTAAAGTTTCCTTCCGTAATTCAAACCCATTTAGCTGGGTATAAACTTGATAATGCATATCACAAATCTTTGTAATTTTTCATCATTACTAACACAAATGATGCTTTTGAAGATTTATTACTATCATATCTGTAAAGGAATCACTTATAAGTACATTTATTTTGTGTACACATGTTATAATGATGATAATGATTATAAAATCAATAAACTGCAGCAAGCTAAAACCTACAAATCTCCGTGTCTTTATTTTCAACATTAATGTTTATACAATAACGTCATGACATTTTGAGGGTGTCTTTTTGTCTGTTCGACACTTTCCTTCCCGACATGGAATGAGCAGTTTTTGAAAAATCCCGGGGCAACATCACTTCCAGAGCTACTGAGTGGCTCTGTTTGGACAAGATCGTCAACTGTTTCAGTATCAAAATTAGAGTGTTTATCATCAAGGCAATGGGACTCCTTCGTACAATATTCACTTGCTGTATACGTTTCTTTTTGGCTTGAATTATGTGCTTGTTCTGGCTGAACCTCTGTCCGTGGACAAAGCGGTTGATGAATCACTTCTTCTCGCGTTGGGGGTGTATATGCTTCTCTTGCTAGAGTATACTAGTAGTGTCCCATATGTTCCACGTGGTGACATGCTTGTCTACCATCTTCCAACTCAACGATGTACGTAAACAAAGAGATTGTGGAGATCATCTTTCCTCTATAAAGCCAGGTGGGTCCTGCCGCTACATTCTTCACAAGAACGTTATCATGTGCTTTGGACTCTCTCTCTCTGCTTGGATCCTCTGTCGAATATACTGTCTTCGTAGAAAATTGGTGTTTCATGACAGATCTGCACAGGTTTGGGCGAACCTGGTCTTACCTACTTCGAATCCTTGTCCCGAAAAAGGAGCTCACTTCGTGATTTGATTGTGGTTCCTTGAGAGGTAATTTCAGATAGGTCAACAGAAACCTTTGGATGCGCATCTCCAAGGACGAACCAGCGGTTTTCTTTACACCGCTATTCACCGTCTGTTCGGTTCTTTCAGATTTCAAATTAATTGGGTCTAATTATTGGGGTTTAGGACCATCCCTCGAAGATGTACTTACCTTTTTAGTTTCCGACGGCCTGGTGTCTACGTCAAGAATTTTAATCTGTACTTCAGGCTGCTCATCAAGTTCTGCTAGACCTGGGTGCAATCAAGTAGATGTATCATCTTTCATAGATCATCCGCGTTCTGATGTTCTTTCCCTTCCTTTTGGACAATGTTTTAATTTTTAAAAGGAGTTGCAGCGGCGCACGAATATCGTGGTATTTTAGATCCCTTGTTGACCATACTCACGAGTATCACTAGTGATATTATTTTCGAAACTACATCCGCAATGAGTAATATATTTAGCATTAATGTTTTAATTGTACACAACAAAAATTGTACACACAAATTCATCAAACTGAAGCACAATGCAATTACATACCGTCAGTCCGATCGGGTGAGGGTGCGCGTGTGTTAAGTTGGCGACGTGCGACTAGCGACTGTAATCTTAGTTCACGGTCGCCAACTGAACACACGCGCGCGCCCGCACCCCACCGTCGGTACGGTATGCAATTGGATTGTGCTGCAGTTTTCCGTGAACCCCGTAAGAAAGTGCATATTATAAGTCATCGTTTTTAGGAAAAATACTCCGAAAAAGATAAGAAAATTGACACGAAACAGGTAACAAACATATCGACTTTTAAATTATGACCTTTATTTGGACATTTGATATACATTTACTTCATTTTGGGTATGTTTTAGTAGGGTATCTCCAAGCCGGAGTTAGGGGTCAAATGTTGGATAGACTTCTGAACTAGCGCCATTCTCCATTACTAACTTGAAAAGGGCATTCACTTGTCAATATCAAACAGTACAGTACCTGGTCCCGGCAAATGAGCACCAAATATATCAATTGGTTCTTGTTCCTAATCAATGTGGACCAATCTTTTAATAGTACCTGGTCCTAATGTAAGTGGACCAATTTTTCAAACAGTTCCTGGTGGACCGAATTGCCACAGTGTTATAGGTCTATCTAGGCGTTTTTAATTATAACGGGTTGTTATTGTAATTGCATTGTAATCGTACCCCCCCCCCCTACTCGAAACCCCTAGATCTACCCTTTCTTAGGGGTTATTTGGGGGATTTTTCTCTAAGTAAAGCCCTCTT